TTCATACTTTTCAGGTCGCAGTGGGAGCGCGAGCGTGATCGCGGGTAGGTGTGACAGGGGTATAAGAATGTAGAACACAATGTTGAATAATATGAAGAAACGTAATAAGGTCTCTTAATGTGCGAAAATATGGTCAAAATATAACACTCTGTTTACTATTCAGAATACCTCAGAATGCACCAAATTGCACTGTTTTTGACAAATATTTCTGGGAGGGGTCATGTACCCTGACCCATCTAGTAGGAATTGTAAAATGCCTTCGAACTCCCACTTTCTCAATCCTGGCTAGTACCTTGTTAGTCATTATTTACGAATTACACGGGGCTAATTTCTGTAACCCGTGTTATCGTGGCATTGAGTATTACTGTATGTAGCATACTGCCAGGATGGAAGTATAGTAATTTATTATGATACTTTAATTAAATCTTAAATTAATAGGGATTGCATATTATGGGAGAAAATCCTTATCTATATATTTTTAATCCATAGGAGGCACATCGCATGGTTAGAGAGGCCAATGAGAGAAGAGTATCAGTGGAGAAGCAACTGAAGGAAGCTCTAAGTAAAGTAAGTCGTATTGTATTAATTATTATTATTATATGGCTAATGGTAATTATTATATGGCTGCATTCCTATAGCTTATAGAATTTGCCTTGTAAGGTAAAACAATGTATATAAATGCATTTTATTTTACTAATAGATTACTATCCCATTATATTTGTCCTGGTTCAAAGTGATAGTTTGTGAATAGCTTGTTCTGGTTTACAATTTGAAAACTAATTGTATCCCCCGCGACGAAGTTGGCGGGGATACTATGGTTTCACGTCTGTCCAGCTGCCGCTCGCCGCCGCCGCAGACACTTTCCCTTCCGCTCTGTAACTCGACCCTTAACTGACCTAGCGCGACCAAACTTGGTATACTTACACATCTTGGGGAGAAGGTGTGTCGCGTACCAAAACCAGGTCACTGCGACATTTATTTGACCTTGACATTGACCTTGATCATATTTCCCTTCCGCTCTATAACTCTGCCCCTAATTGACCTAGCGCGACTAAACTTGGTATACTTGACATCTTGGGGAGAAGGTGTGTCACGTACCGAAATCAGGCCACTGCAATCTTTATTTGACCTTGACATTGACCTTCATCATATTTTTCTTCCGCTCTATAACTCAGCCCCTAATTGACCTAGCGCAGGCAAACTTCGTATACTTTCACATCTTGGGGAGAAGGTGTGTCGCGTACCAAAACCCCTAAGGTAACCAAATTTGACATACTTGCACATCTCAGGCAGATGAGTTGTTTAACAAACCTTTGTCTTTGTGACTTATTTCACTTTACCTACCTTGTACGTCCTTACGGAGATATTTCATTCATACTAGATCGCGGGGGATACATGTAGTTGGCGACAACTGCCATTTCTAGATTGTAACATATGTGCTCATATTTGCGACCATAACAATTCAAAATATAATCAAATGTGAATGGTAGCAGTGTTAGTTTTTAGTACAGCCATGTTAGACATTTCCAAACTTGTCTCATCACACTCCTATTGTTGTCCCTTGCAATTTTTTGCAGATAGATGTTCTCGATGCAGAGATTACAGCTCTAAAGAGGTTGGTTCTGGCTTCTGCACCTGATGTACCAAAGTCAGAGTCATTGCCGATCCTGAGCATAAGGACCAGTGGAATAACAAGCTTTTTGAGAGGACACAAACGATCTGGCAGTCACACTGGTGCTATAGAAAAGAGAAGAGACGTGAGCCCACCCCCAGATCCCTCTGACAATGCCACGTTAAACAATTTTATTGAGGTTAGATTCATTTTGATTTATACAGATATGTAGGAGATTTGGTGTCCTGTCCAAACAATGCAGTGTAGACTTAGTAGTAAATAGTTGTCAATAACGTGTATAACAGTGATTTTATTAACGTGTTAATAGCTCAGATTAGAGGAAGAAATAATTGAAAACAGACAGTCTAGTTTAGCCAAGACTAGTCTTATCTAAATTTAGTATAATAGAAAAGGAATAAAGGAATAATGAAGTGTAATTGAAAACATGTGGAATACAGGAAAGTGTGGTATGTAGTATATGGAATATGGGAGAAGAATGTGTCATGGATTGAATTGCAACTTATCAATCTTCGTCCTGAAAAGTATTTAACCTGGTACTTGGTTTACAATTCGACGTCTCATGCAACAAGTGTTACTCATTTTAGACGGATCCTTTACTGTATGAGGAGTTCAGCAAATGGGTACAGAACCCTGTTCTAGAAAGTGGTGGCAGTGATTTTCTATTACGGATTCACAGAGAAGATATAATCCCCTGCCTTACATACAGAAATATTGAAGTAAGTTAAATTTTAAAATTTTTGTTTGTTCAATATGTATACATTTCAGTTGGTCAAACGTAATTGTTATTTAGCTTTTTTATTATCACTGTTATTCTTTGTTCATTTGCAGTCCCTTTATACTGATATCATACATGCAGTTTTGTCAGAGCAAAGAACTTGTAGTTTTATTTTGTAGATGGCCAAAGCTGTTCAAAAATCTGTGGAGGAGAACTCACTCATGATGGAAGTGGTTGTTGGAAATGAGTCACAAGAATGGTAAATGCAAGCACATTCTTTTTATATTATATTGTAATAAGTGCAATATTTTTAGAATTCGACAGGAATAATGAATGACCTGTACTATCCAACGTTCAGTCTGCCAATATAAAAGACTTATTTGCAGTAGCACAGCACAAGCGATGCAGGGTGAAACTCATGAGCCAACAGCTATTCTATTTTCTTCCAGTGAGTGTGCATTGACAATGATATGTCAATCATGCACTTACAGAATGAAGCTTGGTGAGAGTTGCTGCTGGCACTACATTTCCAAGTTAGCCAGGGACAGGGTATGGCATAATCTGTTTATATACGTTGTGTAAATCTTTACTGTAACATGATATTTTCATAATCTACTTTCCTATGAGATATCTTTCAGCTCATGGGCACCTCAGGTACCTGCTCTAAGATACCTTAATATATTATGCGTTAACATAAAACATGTAGCTTATCTTGTGTTATCTTGATTATCTTCAACAGTAATGATTTTTATATGCTTCTCCTTTCTATCAAATGATGAGTGTATGTAAACACTACTGTATTAGGGCACGCACATACTTGTCCAAGTTGTGGTGTATGTCCCTATGATGTTTCTTCTATTTATTTGTGCAGATTGCAGCAGTGTGTGATTTCTTCACTTACGTGAGATACGTTCACCTGGGTCTAGTCAAACAGGATGGTATGTGCCATTTTATCAAGACAACATTTGCGCAAATGTCATTTAAGTAAATGTATTTATACCCCCCCGCAATTGCTGAATATTTGACTAGGTAGGCTGTGTGCAGGATGTAACTTACTACCGCTCAAGGGGTCGTTGTCGTATCAGGTACTACAGATATGTACCCGAGGTACATATATGTATACACAAAGTGTACCAGACTTGTACTACAGAAGTGTACCCTAACCCTAACCCTAAACATACCTCATATAAAAATATAAACGTAATACTAAACAACCTAAAACTACCTCAGGTACATATCTGTAGTACCTGATACGACAACGACCCCATCTGCCTTACTACCCCATTTATTAAAGGTATTGTGTACTTTCAGAGATGACCATGTTCTTGGAAATATTAAAACTAAGAAAGCAGATGTGTTTGGCAAAGCTGGGAGTTCTTATCAAGAATGACAACTCGTCAGCACATTTAAGTTGAATCTGTGCCTTCTGTACGCGGACCAGGGTTGAAAATCCATGTTCATGTCTTAGTCAGACATTATAAGTGGGTGTTTTTTTTAGTAAGTTGGCGATTACCTCAAAACTCGAGTTTATGCAATATTACGTGACATTAGTGGTTTATAACTGCATGATGTTAAGTGCTGCCATCTGCCGTAGCAATATAAGTGGTGCTGTGACAATCTTTCCTAATTTTACTTGAGTAAAATTAGCACCTGTAAATACTCTTGATTTACACTAGCAAGTGTCCATGTAATAGGTAAATGATTATATTTGCTCATTATCGTTAGCTTCCAACGTGTATGAACATGCTGTTGTGCAAACAGTTAGATTTGCCTCAACGTAGTAACTTCAAGGTTGGTGTTTAACCTATGCAATGGATACCTGCTTCTACTATTGTATTTTATTTTGAATATCATTTAAATATGTGTATCATATACTTTCATAGAGTGCCAAACAGTTTCCTCTGACCTTTACTTCAGAATACCTTTGTAAGATAATATGTAGCCATGTTCGCCAGGTCCACTCATCATGTTGTTTTCATTACGTTTTGGTTGTAAACACGTCTATGCTATTTTACTTACATGACAATGACAGATGAATATTGTCCATGTAATAGTGAATCATGTGACATAATAATTGATTGAAAAGTCCACAATACATGTTTCACAATGTCACACATTATGAATATGTTTCCATTTATAGTTTATTGAATATATATATATATATTTAAGTAGTTCTATTTGTGCAAAACCATGTAAGCAGGGTGCCACTTTTCACGAACTCGTTTTTTTTAGCTCATCTGACATAGTCAGATGCAGCTTGTAGAATCGCATGATTGTCCGTGCGCGCGTGCGTCCGTCAACAGTTGGGCACAAATCTAAACGGCTCGACGTACAGATTCGAAAGTCGGGACGTAGGAGGGTAACACGAAAACGAGTTGGGATGTCAAAGCTGGGAGTCAAAGGTCAAAGGTCAAGAGGTGTAAAAGAAGGGGGAACATTCCCTCCTTAACTTAAGGTATAGAGGAAATGCAGAATTGCGGCACAAATCTAAACGGCTCCACCTATGCTCTTAATATTCGGTGTATAGTGTGATGGGCAGGAAACCCATCACCAGTGCGAAATTGGAGGTCACAGGTCAAAGGGCAGTGGGGGGAAGGTCACATATCAGGCATTTTCTGAGGACATGGCCTAACAGGCAGAGTGGAACTTTTTTTTTTTTGCGTTTTCCTCTCCTTTTTTTCTCTTTTTTTTGAGGGGTCTGTGATGTGTTTTTTGCTGTGGTGTGTGAAGTGTCTGATAACCTTTTGACCCTCAAGAGGAGAGGTCAACACGGATTCGGTTGCCAGTGAGTTTATTAGAAGAATACCCGGCTACAGTACACGTCAGTTGAGTGCTGTCGCTCTGCGGCACTTGTTCATTAATATCATCAAATATAATCTTCATTGTCGTTGATCGCAATTCAGTAAATGAGTTGACAGACTACCCACCTAAAAACTATTCCCGTTAAACGTCAGTACAGATTAGCTGTAAAACTATATAATAGGCAGAATCTCATCAATGTTGTAACAGTAAACTGGCTTCTCTCATTAGACTTGCTGTAGTGTGCATAAGTTTTGGTCCAGTGCATTTTAGCATCACTGTCCTATTATGTAGTGACAAATCCAATCGTGCAAGTAAGTGTTTTCAACACGTTTGTTTAGTAACAGAATTTATGACATTGATACGTTATCTGCCATCATAAATGTCCGTGTCAATGTTTTCTTCTGCACAACACAATGTCTGAACACTATCATATTGCAAAAATTGGTGGCATGTTACAAAAAACTACCTTGGCTAACTTTTTTCACAAATGTTTCGCAATGTGTGAAAACGTGGTAATACTATGTGGATGGTGCAATTGCTAGTGCAACAGAGCCAGTATTTTCTTCTATTTTTAATTAAATCTCAAATAAATAGCCGTTTTTAAGCAGTTTTCTGTTTGATGTCATGCTTTATATAATGGCAATAGGTACACTAGATATATTTTCTTCAAATATCCAGAAATCTGGCCATTACCTCTATATTTACAGAAAGAATGGCTTTGCTCATCGTGGCTTCCAATTGAGAAGTAAATAAAATATTTTGTAAGGCAAAATGTAAAACAATATAAAATTGCTGTGAACAGTACAGTGGCCTCATTGTAGGGGGATTTTACAAGTCTACAAAACTGAGCATTTTGTTTTACCAAGAAAGGTGCCAACTGAAAAGCTCAATGAAGGCAAAAAATATATTACGATGTATGGGCTGTTAATCCTTCACATTTCCATGGCAACATAATTGGACATCAGGTACATGACTCTATACACGAATAGGGTATTCCCTTCCCATTACATGTTTTAGCAAGTAAAATACACTGCGACAGGAATTGTGCAAAAATAATAAACGTAATTTTAAATGCATTTAATGTTCTTGTTAATCTTATGATAGTCGTAACACATTTTATAAAGAATCCCTTAACTAAATACACACATTACTTCACAAAGATGCATTCTGAAGCAACTACTATATTTCACAATACATTGATGTTCCATAGAAAACTATATATTCCTTAATGGTCTTTTGTCAATGCAATCTTGCCATGTCTTTATCTCTTACTACAAATTTGAAATCCTTAGTAGCATTGGGGCACAACACCCACCCCCTCCATTCGAGGAATCCCAGAGGAGTCGATGCCTGAAACTTTCATTTCACCAGCCACTTATTTTGAAACTTTCATAACTGTTTTATACAAACACTAAGGAATACGAAATAACACGTTTGCGACGTACAGCAGGTATACCCTTTCGACATCCGTGGAATGGAACAACGCAAGAGATTGCAACAAGGAGTTCCGTCCTCTCCATGTTACTAACACACCTCTCATAGAACATGACTGTACAACCTACGTATAGTAGAGAACAACATTTACAGCAAAGCACATGACAGCGAATAACGACGGACCACGCGTAACACCTAGTGGTGAAGCAGGACAGTCAAATTTGATGGCACCCACTTACCCACGACATGTTCACACACAGTCATATGCAACAAATATATCGACAGTAGACAAAAGGTCAATGCTCACAACCTTTCTGTCCCTATTCGAATTGTGCCGGATAAACCAAGGTGGTTCCCATATGGACTTGCATACAAAATAAATATTAAATATCAACCGAGAGTTTGTAATATACGTTTATAACTAGTTGTACTTTATACAGATGCACTTTATTCTTTAAATATATGTAGTATGACCTTTAGATATATATTGCATATGGCAGAAATGGAAATATAAGTACATAATATCACACAGCAGCACTTGGGATTTTGCTTCCAGAAGCCTCCACAACATTTAACCACCTCCACTATTGCATGCAGCCACATACTGGCAGTAGTGAGCAGTGCTAAACAGCCACCAGTTACAATGTCATTAATTATAACACCCTTGCTCGTCTGTCAACCATGTGCATGGAGAAGGGCTATTCAATTTGCTAGTTGTATGTACCAAATAATCAGGTTTGCCATTAATTAAAATAAAATAAACACTGAAACAAATAAGTTATGTGGAGACATAAATGGTTTCTTTTAAAAATCCAGCAAGCACAATGCTGACGCATCACAATCAAGTAGTGATTACAAAAATAATGACCGAATGCTGACATCGTATACCCACATACCCTTGGAAAACTTTCAAATTCTACCTGTTACGATATCGATGCTATTTACCTATTCCGCATGGCCAGATAGCAGCATGAATCTTCATCGCAAACAAAAACAAGCCACTCGACAATCCAGTGCACACCGTTACACTGTCTGCATGCACTTGTATTCTTTACTCTCTTTCTTTCTCTATGACAAGAACACCCTATCGTTCAATCCACCTCATTGACTATCACACCATCCTTACCGATTGCTATGACCAGCCCCATATTGCCTGCCCTTGACCATTTGTACATGCAGCTATGACCAGCCCACCCTTCCTGCCCTCCTCCATCCATCAATATCATACGTGGAACACATGTAGTGAGCCAATGCAACAGTGCTGTGGTTAACCTTGCCAGCTATCCTCATGTGGGCACAGACACTGTGTGACGCTACGTAGGCGCAACCGAGTGGTCGTAGCGCAGCTCAAACAGACAGTTGGCCAGTGCTGTCGACGACTCCACGCAACTAAGCGAGAGCTGCGCTAGCTTCTGCTCGTGTGGTTTCAACTTGCTGTAAACAATGCAATAAAGAATTATGAGATGCCTACTCCTACACACACAGCAGGGTTCCCCCCAGGGATTTTAGAAGGCACGTCGGTTATGGACAGATGAGGAAAGACCCAGGAGAGTCAGTTACATGTGTCATAAGTAGCCCTAATACACTGGTAAACTTGATCAGTTAGATGTATAGCATACACCAAGCTGTGAAATTACTGCACGGCTATGTTGGGGTTGGGGACAAGAACATGATTTTCAACAATTACTTAACGTATTTGCACATTTCTGTGCCACATTACAAACCTTCTTCCAAGGTGCGAGTATCTGGCAAGATTACGTAGTATCAATGATGCGGTCAGGCGGATATGTTTAGTTACTGGACCCTCCTTTTCATCCTTGTGAAGAGAAAACAGAATAGGATAAATAGAGAACACAATAGAGTCACAATATGGTATGCAATAATATTTGCTTAAGATCAAGTAGTAATAGCATTACTATGTATTGTGTTTAAGTCACCTTTATGCATAGCTAATGCCAAGGTTGATACCACACACAACAAAATTAAACTGCACACACTTATGGAATAAAACTGGCTCCTTCCTATCATAACCTAAATACTCTCGAAAAGTGCAAGAATACTCACCACGAACACTGCTGCTGGCGGTACAGCATGCCTCCGTATGGCCAGGATGGCAGCATTCGGATGAAAGCCGGGATGCTGCGGCGGTAGTTGGGCAGGAGGCAGAGGACTGTCACCCAGTTGTTCTACGTGGAAGCGGCGCACTGCTGCCATGCGCAGTAGTTTGTCTTGACAGTGAATGTCCTGTTGTCACACACACAAACAAGACCATATCATTGGTGTTTGTACTAAAGCAGCATGTTTAAATTACGAGAACATGAGTTAATACGTGACATCAGTAATGCACTGGGCAAATATTATCAGAGGAAACAAAATGAAGTTTAGTTTCAGTTTAGCTATATTATAGCTTGGTGCTTTACTATACAGCTCTCAACTATATATATATATATCAAGAGTACATAATACTATAGAGAAGAGTCTGACACCGTTTTGCATAGTTTTCAACTTGTAAATATTCTATCAATATGTGAATAAATATATTCAAACTTTACCTTGTTTTCGTCTATGATTCTCCCTTAATCATATGATACCACCAATTTACCTGAAAATCGTATGTGTTCTTCAAAAAAGTTCTTTGAATACGACACAGTTTCACAGTTTTCCCAAATGATCGCATGTATTCGGCGCAAGTTTATTATCAGATTAGTGTTCTATTGTCTATGACGGAACGCTGGGGGCTGTTGGGGATGTTAGGCATCGAATTGTATTCAGCGTGTAGCGTTTCCAGCGTGCTAGAAATAAATGTGTGCTCACGGCGAGCTAGCAGCTGATTTTAGCTGTATTGCCATCGTGTTCCTGATGATAAAGAAGCGAAACAAGTGATGTTACTGTGCTTACCTAATATCCCCAACAGTCCCCAGCGTCCCGTAGTGACAACCTGGTGCTGCCGCCGCATTATCAACATGCGCCAAATACATGCGATTATTTGGGAAAACTGTGTGAAACCATGTCGTATTCAAAACACTTTTTTGAAGAACACATACGATTTTCAGGTAAATTGGTGGTGTAATATGATTAAGGGAGATTCATAGACGAAAACAAGGTAAAGTTTGAATATATTTATTCACATATTGATAGAATATTTACAAGTTGAAAACTATGCAAAATGCTGTTAAAACGGTGTCATACCCTTCTCTATTATGTACTCTTGATATATATATCAAGTATCCCACCCAATATGGCAACAGCTGATATGTGATATAAACCAATAGACGTAGTTGGGTCAGTAGGTAGGTTGCCTGCTCTATTTCTCCATTAGAATTTAGATGTTCACAAAGAAAAATATATAATTGCGCTCATTGGGCTCAGCCAACAAAAAATAAAACACAGACAATAACAGCAACAACACGTGGCTTCTGCTGAATGAAACATACTTGTAAATGCGTAGCGAGAGACCAGCGTTTTCGCACCATCTTGTCGCAGGGTTCCCACAGGCATGGGCCATCCTGAGTGCAGTGCACCTTCACTACATGTTTGAAGATTCCTCCAGCACCTTTGCACAAGCTATGAGAAGATGCAACATACATAGATGAAGGGACAGCAAAGAAATTGAGCTTCCATGATGCTAGTTTTCCTCAACACAACAAGGACAAACAACAGGTTCAATTTGACATTGCATCGATCTACTATATTAGTACACTCACTGAGTGCATCCCGTCCATTCGCACTTATATAGGAGATCGGGTGGACACTGCAGCTTCAGCGCCCGTTGTTGCAACTCAGCAGCCTGTTTCTGTGCTGCCTGCTGCTGCTGTGGTGTCGGTGGCAATGGCTGAGCTGGCGGCAACTTTGCCTGAGAGACAGCTGCTGAAGAATGTGCAGCTAGAAGGCAAGCAGCAGAAAATTATAGCTAAAAAGGTAGGAGTGTAATTCAGTTATAATATTATTATGTCATAAAGAATAGACTGATGGTTACAATAAATGGTGAAAACACTCTGTAATGAAAATGCTTCAAACTACTTGCTGCTGCTATACGGCACTAGTAATTCTCTGCGGTACATTATTATATTATTACATAATTATGGAGATTATTGTTCATAGATGCGTTATGGTACAGTTCACTACTATAATATCATTCTCAACACCTGAAACACAACCTCCTTAGTTTCTTTTTAACAGGTGCAAGTTTAAAAAAATGAAATACATGAATTACGCAGTCTTACAACTGAATAATACAGGGCAAGCGTGTCTTTACAGTGATATAAAGGCTAGCTCACACACAATTTAATCAAAACTTGTTTTCATATTAAGCCATCCATTAAGGATACACTCTTTCGCACAGGTATATTGCTCTAATGAAGAGCAACCATTTATTGACAAATAAAACGAATCAATCACACGTTTCATTTATAGATGAGATGTATCAGATGCTCAAGCCATAAAATTTCATGAGAAATTCCAGCACCTAATTATGTGACAACACATTGGACATGTTGGATATTTCTCAATTACCACAGAGTATGAAATCAACATTTTTTCGCCACAAGTTAAGCAGCATATGCACCAAAATTTCACGTCAGAATTTTAAATTTAATATTTACAATAAAAAATTAGAAAACTGCCTCAAATTTAAGGCATATGTATGTTCAGATTGAAAATTTATGCACATAAACAACCATAAAAACGGCACTTAATAACAAGCCATGACGCGCTTTTTTACAGCAAGTGTAACCATTAAAACGTGTAAAATTTAATTATTCAGAGTTGTAACGACAGAGAAATATCCATTTATACATCGGCTACTATGGCAAACATCAGAATCTACTTTTTACATTGATCGACCGCCTGCGTGCAACAGATTCTAGCATAATGAATACTGTGAAAAGGCTGGTTGTATCATGTCTCTGACGTCATCAGTGTTTTAAAGGCTAAGGCTCACTACACACGTACGCACGCAATCAAAACGCTCTGAAAGTTCACATGTATTATTGTTATATGAAGAAATAAGCATGTGCCACCTACTGTTAGCCATCGAATAATGAAAATGAAAAATCAATTAAATTTCGAATAAAAGCTCGAGTGTATCCTTACAAAGCATTATTGCCAGTGGCACATGCCCCAGTGCATCTGAACACAAATCTTGCCCTGCACCAAAAGAAAATCGGGGACAAATACCTGTATTTCTTTGGTGTGCAGCTGTCGAGCTGTGAGTATTTGACTGGGAGGTGTTACTCTTGGTGGCGGCTGGTCGCGAGCATGTGGCCACAGGCATCTTTGGCACAGATTTTGGAGTTGTTGCTCCAGCTCTACGTGGTGATGTCGCACCTTTCACAGCTGACGATTTCTCTAGGGCCAACTTCAAGATCGGGCTATGCGGTGCAGGTGCTGTGTTGAGGCTGGGCGGCGATGATATCTGCATGGGGCTCGGGACATTTCTTTGGGAAAACGGCGGGGGTGCTGGGCGCTTTGAGTTGGGGCCTGCGGATGGCTCAGTGGACGGACGCTTCGTAGGTGTGATAGTGGAGGGTACTGACACATACGGCTGTGGCAACTGCCCCGGTAGAGCACCTAGCTGTCTACTAGGTAGCACCACTGCAGGGCGCGCAATAAAGCCTTGCATGGCACTGTTCTGGCTCACGGGCACAAACATACTATCGGTCTTTTTCTCAGCTGCTCTTGCACTGTTTATATTCAACGAAATTGGCGGCTTTTCAACCGACGTCGATTCCAACAGTTCGCCTAGCAAGCAGGATTTCTGCTTAAGTTTGTTAGGGAGAGTAGATACTTCTGTATCTACATCCATAGGGCTGGGCTTTTCTTCCTTAACCACATGTTTATGGAAGTCCTGATGCTGTAACATTTGTGCAGATGAAACTTGCCCCTTGAAGTCATTTATGGGCACCTGCTTTGACACAGGTAAATGCTGTGAAGCAGGCTTGTCACAACCAGCCAGTGTCACATTCTCACTAACTTGGGTCATGTCAGATTGCACCACATCACACTTGCTCTGCTCTCCCACAAGCATCTGTGGCCTGCAGTTATCCTGTACCTTGTTACACGACACAGAACCAACATCCACCTCCGATTTATTCACACAGCTATCTACAGGAGGTTCATGATTCAGATTTGTTTTCTCTTCACTCGCCACCGCCATGTTGTTTTCTTGCGGCACATTTCGCACTGCATCAAGAGCATCAGCTTTCGGGGTTTTCATAGCATTCTGCAAAGCTTCAGCACCGGTATCTCCATTTCCGACGTGATTTACAATAGAGTCAAAGCTCTTCACGTGGGGAGACTCACAGAAGCCGTTCAGGAACACTGCTTTGTCTGTGATGAGATCTGAGAGCGCAGCCTCCTTTGCCTCTTTCAGGATTTCGGATGCCATCTCCGCCTCACTTCGCCCCTTCTCAGCACCGGTGAAGATAGGACCATTGCTTAGTTTTCCCTCCGTTTCCATGGTGACGGGGCTGTGGTCGGGGTTTCCAGCACGAGGCGTCTCCTGAATCCGGCACGGCATTCCACCATGCCCGTTTTGCGGTTGTTTGCCGCCGGCCATCTCTGCATTGTCTCTCGATGACGCGCTGCCACTGGGCGAACTCAGGCAGCCGTTGACGCCATTTGTAGCTGGATGTGGGGGCCCACTACCGATCAGTTCGTTTCTGGCCGCACCCGTCTCAGTCTGAGATGCCGCAGAGAAGACACCGCTGGTCCCTTGACTAGTTGCACTCCCTGAATTGAGCCGAGGTTGCTGCTCACCCGTCTCCGATGATGGCTCGCAGAAAATCCCGCTGTGCTCGTTCCGGCACTCTGACGTGATGCGCGCCCCAGCCGTCGATGCCGCATGTTCGCCCAGCTGCACAGGGTCCGCGCCGCTGCCACCCCCCACCCCTCTCTCCGGCAACGCCTCTGCCGGACCCCTGTGCGACCACGGCTGGCCACCAGAAAGGGGAGACTTCGGCGGAGCGGTCGGTCTGCTTCGGCCCATTGAGGATTGAGATTTAGAGGTTCTATCACTGCCAGATGTCCAGTCCTGCTGCTCCCCAGGATGGGATTGCAGGGGGGATGCTGAACTTATCACTGCCTGGTGATACGAATGGTGCTGGTTGCCGTGGTGAAACTCGTGTGGCACACACGGGTTGCTAAGTGATGGCTGCTGAGGTGAACGCGGGCTGCCTGGTGACGTCACTCCTGTTCTTTTGTTCTGCTGGTTTTGAGCACGATGCTGCATGTTCTGTGTCACCTTAGTAGCCAGCAAGCTTTTGATGAGACTGGTATTGTTGCTAGGTGATAACTGACCATGTTGAGTTGGTGATGGAAGAGATCGTGTATCTTTGCTCTTGGCTGCAGAAAAAAACATAGCGATAATAACTAGTGATACGGCACATACTGGAAAAATTCTACAGCTCAAATTACGAAGCACACATAGTTAACTAATAGGTACTAGAAGCTGTATAGCACGAGATTCTCATGAGTAAGAATTTACAGTGGGGCTCAGATAACCAACAGCTAACATGCCAAGCATATGATACCTACCTAACAATGCTTGCTGAATGGATGGGTATTTCTGTCCCGCATTACCAGACGGCGTGGATGTACCGTGATCCCGAGACTTGAACTGGCCAGGCTGAATTGCCAAACCCCCATCACTAGCTGGGCTGTTGAGTTGTGCTGAGAGAAGTGGCGAGGCGGGGGAAAACATGTTAGGAGAGGCCTGACCTGACGGAGGAGTGGAAGGGGACTGGCTGCGCAGGTGCGCAGGCAACATTGGGAAACGGATCTGAGATGGTGACAGTGGAGTCGAAAGACGGCTGCTGTTACTGCCCCGGCTAACTGGCCGTTCAGGGCGGGAAGGCGTAGGCAAGGATGTGGGTGGAGGTGGCCGCTGGTACCCTGCAGGACAAGAGATATCGATAATCATTATGATAACCAAACAGGGAGTGAAAAACACAGTATTCAATAGAGAACACCAAAAAAATCATTGGGTGTATTAGTTTTAACTGATTTTATTATTGTGATTAGGTTTTGATATACCAAAAGCACAACATAATCAGACTTTTACATATCAATCAATAGATCATCTATTTCTTAATAACAGCTTGGTAACAAGTTTTAAAGAATTTCTGTAAAACAATCATTGCATCCAAGCAACACCAGAGGCAAGGGCATGTTAGTAGAAAGCCATAAGAACGTTCACCTTTCCAGCTAGCCTGCTGTGTTGGTAGCACAGCAGTAGCGGTAGTGGCAGTGTTAGTGGGTGTTGGATGTGATACAGGTAGGGAGGGTGAGTGTGCAACCTCCTGCTGCAATGCTGCAAGAGCAATGTGGCCTGTCATACCACCAGTCACCCGAAACTGCTACCACTCCCAAGACTATATTAGCTAGGGTTAATAGTCAAGTAATACCATTTTGCATAATTATTTTGGCCACAACTTGTTAGCATTATGGGCATTGATAACGTTGTAAAATTGCGTATCTAAACGGATATTAGTCACTGGAGAACAAGGTTTTAATTTCCCTACAGGTGAACAAATTTCACCATCATGCCAAGCATTTAGGTCAAGTAACACACAGAAAGGCTTGTTGTTCACAGTAACAAGACAGTGCTTCTATTGAATAAGCATATTGAATAAGCATTTTGTCATAAATTTGTGCACACAGTATAGTGTATTACATACATGTCCACATATATGATTAAATGCAATTTAAACAAGCTAGAAAACTGTTTTGCAGTCAGGTTACTGTGAGCAATAAACGCAATGTTAGAAGTTAGAAGCTTGCTGTTGTCAACATGGATTAATGGCTATGAAACATGAAGAAAAGCAATGTGATACTGATAGGGGTAACTTACAAGGCTGCTGTTTTGCTGATGGAACTGGATGTTTTCTTCGTAGTCTGTCATGATGTTGTACTGATCCGCCACCGCCGAGCTCTACCTTCTTGACCCCGGCTTTAGGGAATACTTTTCTACATAGTAAATTCAATGTTTAGAGTGAGGCGAGGATTAACTCATCATTGAGAGGCTACCACCACATATATTTTCTTACAATGTAAGAATGCATAATAATGACATTATATCAAGTTCAAGATAAATGATAACAACCAGTGAGTAACTGATTATCATAAACAAATAGAAATCATACAAATTATGATGAATTGCACTCACTTAAGGCATTCAGCAAACTTCGTGGAGTTGAGGATGGCAGCCCTGCCTAGCTTGCTAGTTGCGCCTAAATACTCAGTGTACATGTCCACCTTTGGATAGGAGCTTCCTGGGTGTTCCTCAAAGCTGGATTGTAGCCAGTGGCAAGCAAACTTCTCGGGCTCTATCGTGGGATGTGGGTGGGTGCCTGGCGTGGCATTTGAGGTCATTGATGCTGGAAGTATAGGCCCTATACCATAGAAAATAGACAAAAAACATTGAATTCACACAACAAAATTGTAAGCAATGAAAAATTGGTGAATGATACGAGAAACGACAACTAATCAACTCTTAGAACTGCACAGCATTGTTTTAAACCAACAATCGTTTACTTATCAAGATGAGGCATACGACTGATATGTGGCTATGATTCTATACGTATAAATATATATATATTCTATATTCTAACTGTAATGCTACCACGAAACAGAGGTGGCCATACAATTAATTTATGTAAGAAAAAACTAACGTTGGTGATGATGATGTTCTTTCTGTTGCTGCTGCTGTTGCTGCTGCATATGTGCAGCTTTCTGCTGATGCTGAGGCAAGGGTGCCGAGAGTGGCATTGGTCGGCCCTGGGCCAGCGAGTCCCGTAGTGATTGCTGCTGCTGCTGCTGTTGCTGCTGTGATAAAGCTTGCGCGTTGGGATGTGGCACCCCCTGTGGAGTGGGTGGAATGTACTCCACCACCTTCATGCCAACCAAAGCCTCAGGACCAAATGCCTGTGCCTCTACAGTTGCCATGTCAACCAAAATTTCTGCAACAACAGGAAACAACAACTACGTGAGAATGCGCACATAAAACTATCCCCTAAATACCTGCACTAAAAATAAATGTAGGAGGGTGACAGTCCGATCAAATAAGCAGAACTTGACCCAATTTCCCCTACAGCTCCTCTATCATCAATCTATAAATGAAATCTCGGGGCCCATTATCAGAAACAAAATTGGTCTTAATAGTTATTTTAACATTAACTTTTTCTTACAGACCCCTGACAGAATCATGGTGAAGTTACGAATTGCTACGTTGAAAACCAATGCTAAGACTAATTTTGTTTCTGAAAATGATAATTCATGATGATTCCCCTAAATATGAAACCATAAACTCAGAGTCACGCACCCACAGATTTGTGTACGCTGGCGATGTTCGTACATGTCGCCTCTCCAAGCTCGGACAGCTGGTAGAGCACCTCTAGTGTGTAAACTATGAGCATGATATCGTGCACAGTCAGCATGAGGCAGATCTTCCTGTACACCCACTCATCAACGTTGCCCACGATCGTTTCTTCGTTCAACTCGTGTAGACACAAGTTGGCCAGAACCTCCATTCCTAGAGTTATAAAAACAATCTTATAACTAGAAAGGGAAGTTGTCGCCAACTACACGTATCCCCCGTGATCTAGTATGAATGAAATATCTCTGTAAGGACGTAGAAGGTAGGTAAAGTTAAATAAGTCACAAAGACAACGGTTTGTTACACAACTCATTTGCCAGAGATGTGCAAGTATGTTAAAATTGGTTGCCTTAAGGGTTTTGGTACGCGACACACCTTCTCCCCAAGATGTGTAAGTATACAAAGTTTGCTCGCGCTAGGTCAATTAGGGGCCTATGATCAAGGTCAAGGTCAAATAAAAGCCGCAGTGACGTGGTTTTGGTACGCGACACACATTCTCCCCAAGATGTGTAAGTATACCAAGTTTGGTAGCGCTAGGTAAATTAGGGGCCGAGTTATAGAGCGGAAGGGAAATATGATCAAGGTCAAGGTCAAGGTCAAATAAAGGTCGCAGTGACCTGGTTTTGGTACGCGACACACCTTCTCCCCAAGATGTGTAAGTATACCAAGTTTGGTAGCGCCAGGTCAATTAGGGGCCGAGTTATAGAGCGGAAGGGAAATATGATCAAGGTCAAATAAAGGTCGTAGTGACCTGGTTTTGGTACGCTGCGCACCTTCTCCCCAAGATGTGTAAGTATACCAAGTTTGGTAGCGCTAGGTCAATTAGGGGCCGAGTTATAGAGCGGAAGGGAAATATGATCAAGGTCAAGGTAAAGGTCAAATAAAGGTTGTAGTGACCTGGTTTTGGTATGCTGCGCACCTTCTGCCCAAGATGTGTAAGTAGACTATGTTTGGTCACGCTAGGTCAATTAGGGGTCGAGTTATAGAGCGTAAGAGAAAATGTCTGCGGCGGCGGCGGCTGGACAGACATGAAACCATAGTATACCCGCCGACTTCGTCGCGGGGGATACAATTAAATATATGTATATATAATATATACACATACATACATTACAATATTTTACAACAATTGCAGAGTATTTCGCACCTTTTGGTTGGCCCTCTACAATTAATATCATTGTGAAAAAAGCACCAGTGTTCATACGACAACAACACTTGGCAAAGCAAAAATTTGTGCATGAAACAATGTAAACATAATTCAAAACACACCATCACAAACACATCAACAAAATCAAACAAACTACTGCTAAGCAAATTATAAATCAAGGTCCACAAGCATCGTCTAACACATTAAACACACCATGAGACCCACTTTTACAAAAACTGGCTAAGAAACTTACTGGATACTAAGGCAAACTAACATTCTGTTTTTTACCTCGTATTGTTTCAAACTTGTCTGCTGAGGATACACAGCATGCAATCGTTCGGAACAGAAGCTGGGTGTTTAGGACCTCAATCGGCTCCAGTTCCAGCTGCCTGGCCAGATTCGCTAATGTATCCAGCGCCATCTGCCTTAATGTTGACCAACTGCAGTGCGCACACAACAAGAGAAACCTACGAGAAAGGCAACAAAACATGTTCAGAAATGAAACACACGATGACAGGGTGCACTTTTATTTCCATATTTTCATAACCTCATTGAAATAAAAACATCTCCATTATCCCAATTATATTATATCCAAGAATAACCCCTTTATTATCATGCCCACACACCATATAAGCATGCTTACTCAAACAATGTAAAATTGCAATGAGATAATTCCCATGTTGACACTATAGTATAATTTAAAAAGATAAATCTTAGGAGGTAAATAGTGTAACTAGCAATTTAATAAATACAGAGATAATATGAAGGATGCAGGCACACTCTGCTACCACTGGAAACACGAGGCATCATAAAGATCTACCTTATGCACGAAGAATTGCATGCCATCACTGGAATGTTCCCATTCTCAAAGGACAGGTTGCGCAGTATGACTACTATCTGTTCGATGCGCTGTCCCTCGGTGTCATGAACCCCATAATTTCGTGACAATGTAAACAGCTCATCACCAGGGCTATCCTCCAGACTCTCTCCATCTGCAACACCCAACAATGTGCATGAACCCCCATAAGGTTTAAATGTATAAAGTGTGAGTGCGAGTACATGCATGTATGCACGTATGTATGTATGTACGTATATACGTATGTACGTATGCACGTATGTATGTATGTATGTATGTATGTACGCATGCATGTGTATTAACACATACAGAAATAAAAAGGAACAAATGAATTGATGTAGCACGACCACAGTTACGTTACCTACCTTTATTCACGAGTAATGGTATTAGCTCTCTGATACCTTCATCCTTGACCGTATCGTACCAGAACTGAAACAAAATAGAACGTGGCAGTGAAGTCACTGAAAAGGGCGTTTCGTAACAACATACACTTCGGTTCTGTTTACCATCTCGAAATTTAACGTTTCGTGCCACCAGATGGCACAACATACACTGCTGAGGTTATTGGCAGCAGTCGTCCGCTGGCCGCCATTATTCAATAATCACGTACAGCATGCACTGTCCTAGCGTACACACTCACCAAGACAACATAAACACTCCCTCCCTCTCACGCACTAGCAGCAGCACGCTGCTGAACGTGTGCAATCCACACGATACGACACCAATTGCGCATACGGCAAGATCTCAATTCTCAACGATTTCTACGTTAACTGCTCTAGACGGTCTACTCATAGCATCAAAATGGCTGGCTGAGTAGCAACACTGAACAAAGCATCACAGTAGTAATTTACACTCGTAAACATATGGCGTACGTGCGCACCTGTAACGAGCTGGCATTCAACTACCTCAGTACCTGGCTGCGAACAGGTACGATTTCATTTTCCCTACAACTTGCTTCCATATTAAACTATTTTACATGGATTACATATGCCCAGTAACGGTTGAACAAAATGTCTGCCGCCCTTTTGAAATCAACATGTTTAAACGTTCGTTATTTATCAAGAGAGTTCATGATTTGAACAACACAATATTTTCAAGAACAGTATCCAAATTATTCAACAGTTTAATTTTTCACTTTGATTATACGTTGATTGCATATAAATAATAATGTTTCCCTTCTTTGCTGGTTCTAAGTAATTGAAATATTGCACAGTGAACAGTTTGCGTATTATGTCTATTGTTTGGGTTTAAAGTAACCAGCTGGAAAAGTTGTGGGTGGTCAATATAATTAGAACACATTTAATTCGGGAACCAATGACAAATATGACCACTTGGCACATAATTCTTACGGGCAAGGCGAAATTATGGGCATCTGCTAGGTGATCAGGCCGCATTATTTTAATAACCATTGAAACATCCAAATGAACACACGGGATATGCGAAAATATAATCGTAATAGCACCAATTTTCAACATTAGCATACATATATTACCAAAGCCCTTTTGAAAATGAAATAATAATGTTGAACTGGGTTTACAGAAAACAATATCAAACGATATATGCCATTACAGGACATTTTATCAGAACATACAAATATCATAAATATAATAATTCATATACACGCAACTATCAAAATCATTATGAGTAAAATTACACGATAAAATTCTTACACCCGTAGTCTCAGACCAACCAGATATAATATATATATATATATATATAATAATAATAATTATATATATATATAGCAACGGCCACACCATTGTCACCAGCCACACGCTGGGTGATGAACCTGGGTGCTCAAATCGCCAAGGTAAATACACCTACGTTTTCAATGATCACTTTCAAAACACCAGCACGGCCAGCACGCACGACAGACACACTCACCCGTACGAACTGGCGATGTGTCAGGGCTCGCCAGCTCTCGTAGACGCTCTGCAGCGTTGCCGCTCCCTCGGCGAAGATGCCGGCGTGAGCTAGCAGCAGGTCCAGCAGCCGGGGACACCGCTGCAACCGCAGCACGTGCTTCCCCTCGTTCGACAGCAGCACGCACACGTTCAGCGCGAAGTCCACTTCGTTCGGCAGACCGGACATGAGCGAATAGATGAGCTTGTCGTACTGGCTGAGTTTCGCAAACTCCATGCTGAGTCCGTGGAAACTGCGCAGGGTGTCTGCAACGACAACAGCGACTGAGCATCCGCATACGTACGTTACGATTCTTAAACTCTTAGCTTTTCACTAGGATGAAAAACAGGAGAATGGGGAAAAGAAGAAGACAGCGGTGATGACGATGGCAACGATGAAGAAGAGAAGGAGGGAAAGAGGAGGAAGAGAAAGCAATAGAAGAGGAAGAGGAGTACCTGCCACATACTTTCAGCTTAACAGAACCTATTATTTTCTTCCACCTCACCTATCCTTCACTCTCTCGCTACATATCTCAAACACCGATTATACGGTATAACGCTATAAACTACGCTTCACCACGCACAGTCTGACGTGAATACCCTCATCTACATACAGTTTCGCACACCGGATAAATCACGAATTAATAGTGCGTGCTTGCTACAAATGAAGCCCCACGAATGAAGCAAATGTAACTTAGAATCACACAGAGAAAGCATACAAATGAAAAATATATATATATATAATATATATATGTAATATACACAATACTCTAAAAGTGGAAATGAGGGGGGGGGGCTAATTTGAGCGTTATACACTGTTATTGAACGTTGTTACAAACGAGTTGATTATGAGTTCTTCACATTGCAAACAATAATACAAAATAAATTAGTCACTGGGAATAAAAAGAAATGGCAATAATAAAGGTTAAGTTTATCATCGATAGGATAACTGATCATACTAGCTTGCCATACGGGTAGCTGTATTTTGTTGAATAATTTAATCCAACGATTCCCCTCTCTCTCTCTGTACGGTGAATGGTGAGCTTCTAAATCAAGATCGATAAGAATTGCGTTTCCTGGAACCTATGAACCCCTGTCGCCTCGGTAATCACATTGAATTCTTTAATGTGACCGATTTCACACCTGCGTACGGATATATACACACGGAACGTGTTACTGTTAGTTGTGTGACCTCGCTAATACTATTTTGCAATCATGAAAACACATCAGTCTTCACACAGAAGTCAATTCAGTCCACATCGGACCAAAATATGTTACACGTTCTTGTGATGTAAATGTAACATCATTCACCATCTAGCTAACTGCTATTGTTAATCTTACATTTACATTTAACAACAACCCCACCGGCACCCGAGCATGCGCCTACAAATATCACTGCTCCTAATCCAAAACAAGAAGAAACATTGCACTAATATCAGCAGCACGCACGGTGGACGTTGGCAGCTATGAACGAGATTCCATGTGACGAGAATCAACTCGGTTGACGAAGCGTGGCAGTGATATAACACGCGATAAAGCATTACAGCGAGAGTCGGAGACACCGCTTTTTAACTAGAGCTACAGCCTACATCACAGGTCGTGTGTTATCTCAGCATAGATATAACGCTGCTACCGCTGCGTGTGCGCGATACCATGTGGTCATTCGTGCCAATCACTAACACAACATACGCTTCACAGGTAGGCAATGCTGCGCGATTCTCCGCCAGCGAACATGCTGGTATAATCCGTTTACAGGGTGGGGGGGGGCAATTTGCGTTTAAAGGTATAGTACACGCAAGCGTCGATCAGTTTGCTAACCACCACTTCCACACACCTTTACTGTGTAACTACAGCTTTCAGAAGACCCTGCACAGCAAACAGGCAAGAGAAATACGATGTTGATAGCTGCATAGCAAGTACCGAAATCGGAAGCTGCCGACTCCACTCTGTAGTATTATGCAGAGAGAGGCACAAACACCTACGCGTGGATTAGGTTATGGTCTATTGTGCGAACGATTATGACTACCCGCATTTCCTATCCGATGACATTGTTTTTGCAACTTACAGTCGTAATGTGCGATGGAACTAAAATGGTTATAAAACACAAAAGTTTTGAGGGAATTTCTTCTGTCGTCGGAGAAACTAAAACATCTGTTTAGCAAAAGAACCTCAAACACATAAGAATGAATAACTGCCAGGCATAAGAAATGCTACATACACAGGCTGGTATATTAGTTGCCAGTACAGCTTGCTTCCTGGTAAGTATCACAACCAGCTATGCACAATCAGTTAGCAAGAGTCAAGAGACTGCCTTCTCTATATACACAGCAGTAATATGCTGTGCCGTCTAACGGTTTCACTGTGGAGTGAGTATTCAGTGGCACTCATTCTAGCTTTCTCGCTTGTTATTCTTACTTACCTGGTATGGTGTGATGCTCTTTCCTGTACACCATGGACACCTGGTCAACCAGTGAGGGTCCCTTTGTTTTCCGACTCTCATAATCGTCATCCTCATCTGCGGGGTCCTCTCCAAGGAAGTTCACCTTTTCGTACAGATCAAGGAATCTGAAATTTAACAAAATAGAATGCCATGTGATATATTGACAGCAAATCGTTAGATTTCTGACATGTAAGTATATGTGGTATGTTTTATCGCTGATTACAGGCAGATATGTGAAGATTCTAGTAAACAACAGTATCATAAGCACACGACTAAACATCACATCTCAACTGTAAATAAATACTCATTATAGATAGGTGATAAAAGAAAGCAATGCATACACAAGGTATAGATCACGAGTTTATCATATAGTTAACACGATTCCCAGTCTCTTCAATCTTTCCAAATATCGCGTCTACATTCCCATTGCGACGCGTGCACACAGCACACGTGTACGCACCCACAACAGCTGCAGGCTAATCAATGAGGGAATCCCTCAGAGGAAACAAAGTCAGTGTTTCACACATCGCGACCAACGAGTTACTAGCTGCTTGCCGTGCGCTTCGAAGATCTGCCTTCACGAATACAACGATAGATATATATACTACTAGATATATCTACTAACTTAGAACCCGAGACTGTTATTCTTACGAACCAATCTGCCGTGCAATCAATTTAGCAATCTCACCGCAACATAACATATTCCAAGTTAACATTGTCAAAAAGAATAAGGGTTGTGACGAGTTGCCCATGGAACCATATATCCAACTATACAAGGCAGGTTCCATATTTAATTGGCATTTTCTCAAATGAACTGGGCGTTGCCAGAGAAAATCGGCATGTGCTGAAATTATCCAGATGAATCAAACGTAGATATTGATCACGAGTCATACTGTTGATACATTTTGGAGGCAGACACACATCTATGCGTAATAGTAATACTCAGGAGAACCATAGAACCTCAGAATACTAGAAACCATTACAGCAGTGCCACCAAGGCAAGCTGTTACGTCTGCAGTGCAAATGTTCGAGCACAAACAGTTTGTAACCAAACAGTTGGGCATAACATCACCCATTCTATCGAATGACTACGGACAAACATTCCATACAGCAGAAAATCAGACAGCATGAAACGTAACTGGTCAAATGAGAAGATACCATACATGGGGAACGCTGTGGATTATATGAACCTTGGCTGTATTGAGCTCAAAGGACTCTGAGTTCAAAGGTAAACCACGACTGTAGAGCTTCAAGAAGCGGTCACGTATTGCACGGTGGCTTGTACCGAGCTAGTCAAACACTAATCAAACGGTTCATGTTCAGAATCTGTTGCCAATTACCGGAGGAGAGAAAAATAATTATAGGCAACCGGCTTCACGAAATCACCTTGTCTGCTGCAACAGGAAACTACAGGAATCATTGCACATACAAGGTGACTCCACCACCTACGGAGGGCAGTGGAAACGAGAAACATTGCTGAGTGCCAGAGAGGGTAGAAAGAAAGTGGGAGGATGAAATCGTATACGTTTTAAGAGATAGACAAGAGAGTGAACAACGAGGGAAAGGAGAAATGACAAAAATGACAGGATATAGGGAGAGAACGATATAATGGACAATGTAAGCTTTCTCAGAAAGCATCTGCAAGTCTATACTGTCACCTAATAGGCAGAATGTTCGTACATCCACACGAATACCACCAGCAATGTTGAGTATGTCAATTACGAAAACAATAATTCCAATTGCCACTTGCTGGCTGTTTCACACATACACGTGGGCTGGATAATGTCTCGCAAGCCTGCTGCTCAAGTATACGTATTGATTTGAGAGACCGGGAGCGAAATCCTTGATTTCACGCAGGTTTCATTCCCATTACTCTCCACTGAATTTCATTAGTAGGTCACGCAATTTCTACAATCTCGCACAAGTGGATGATGAATACCACCAAGCTTTGGCTGGGTAGTAGAGAGAAACTATAACATGGCAAGTGTCAGATAACATCAACTTATAGTTATATGTATATTATTATTATATACCTAGTTTTACCCAATACGACTACGGCATGAACTAGAGTGAAAATGCTTTTAGCAGAACATTTATTCTGCACTTCTCCTTTCAGCCACTATGGTCAGATACATACAATATAAGCCTATTTATATATAAGGCATATCATGTTCCACTCCGCTTACTAACCTTCCTTTGCTACTAAATGTCTGTGACCGTCCTCCTCCAATAGGTGTTCTACGCCTCACCAGCTGACACACGCTTCAGGCTTTGCGACCCGTGCATACAGAATTAAATGAGAAAGCTCGCTACAAGCGTTTGCTTGCGATTCACTGACAACGGCTACAGTAATAACAGTTTAAGAGAGCACCGGCCGCAGCTGCTATTGATCTTCGCAGCTAGCTCTCTCAGCTTTCGCTCTGCTGTCGATGCTGAAGCTGATGCCGCTGCGGATACTGAAGCTGCTAGAACATCGCCTGCATTCACTGCTGTACTGCTGCGTGAGTTGCATCTTGAGCCACAGGCCTTTGATTTCTCATATCGTATACATTCCTCATCGTGTACTACGTATCGAAAACAGTTCTAACGTATTATGTACGTATATGTATGCAGAGACAATGCAAATTCCAAATAACGCTAATTCATCGATCGACCGCATACGTACACCGACAGAATTAATTAAACGGAGTAAACTTTTAGGTTTCCAAGATATCACTCCATATAATGGAGTAGTGTAACCAGAATTGATTTAATTGAATTTCCCCCCCCCCCTATATGCCCAGTCTGCTCTGATCTCCCAAAACATATTTATGATGGCAGGAAGTCAGATCACTATAGTGACAAGAATAAACAAACTCACAAAAATTGTTCACAATGAATATGATCGAATGTCGACATATATACACATCGGTCAGCATTGGCCGCACAGATGCGTTTTTTACTAACCAGTGTCTATAACGCTCTCGATGGTTGTGTAACGTTTAATTATTGTTTTATGTAGAAATGATGAAAGAAGGAATTCAAACTTGTGTAATAAAAACTGAATAAACTATAATAACTTGCACACAGTGTGGTCACATCTTGCATAGAGAGACAAAGACACGCGCACACGCGCCTAAGCGCGTGTGCTTACTCCCGCGACCACAACCAGACCCCCGACTCTTACATCGCTGTCTTATATTATATATTACCCCCAAAACCCCTACATCCTGAGCGCACATGTCACCCGTTCTCCCAGACCGCGTCCTACCTCCATTTCACAATGACCCCAGAAACGCCCGACCTAAAACACGTTTACCATTCTCCCTATAACATCAATCTAGCCGCACAAGATGCGCGACGCTCTGTCACCAAAACAACCCTGAGGCTAGCCGCACTCCGCGTCTCTAACTAATTTATGTAACATCTGTAAATCATATGTTACAGTTGTAATGTTTAAAAAAAACTATTCCAACCTGAAATGCCATTAAATCTAACCAGATGTTACAAAAACCATATACTAACCATTATGTATTAGGTTTCCCTATTTGGCTGTTGTTATCCCAATTATAGCAAAGAATTCCCCACTATATAGCTAATGCGAATGACACCAAGAACACGCCCAGTGTCCAGGCAATCTTCTCACAGACCTACCATAGACCGTTGGCCATAGACTGGTGAGATGCCTCTTGATTCTGTACACTGACCTCAAATCTTAATCAGACTCTGCATGACACTATTTATGGTATCCTTTGTTCCCTAAATGGTATCAAGAGCAGATAAAGAAGGAGAGCGTACAACGGTAAAATGCTAAAACCATGCTGCAGTATTAGTCAAATTAATAAACTTTTCCCGTTTTATTCTGACGATCCTTTGCAGTATTATTGATTAGCTGTCTTACCTTGTTCATATAAAACAAGCCGCATGTCCCTACGATGCCCCTACGCTGAGATAATGAGCGGTGAAAATCTGGTATTTTCGCCGAAACCCGACTAGACATTAGTCAGAGCTGCGTCTCTCTCGCGAAGTGATTCCAGTGTGTTGCTTCCGGTCGCCGCTGTGTAGCGCGATAGTGGCGCTGACTCACGTAATACTACCAGAGTTTACTATACATCCAGCGTGAGGTGGGCGTGAGGTGGGCACAGGTGGGGGTCATCACTATGGCAATCAATAACAGACGTCATTCGGGACACGCGAGGTTTCCCGAAGTTATAAACACTTCGAGAGATAGTCGCAGCTCTGACTAATGTCTAGTCGGGTTTCGGCGAAAATACCAGATTTTCACCGCTCATTATCTCAGCGTAGGGGCATCGTAGGGACATGCGGTTTGTTTTATATGAACAAGGTAAGACAGCTAATCAATGATACTGCAAAGGATCGTCAAAATAAAACGGGAAAAGTTTATTAATTCGACTAATACTGCAGCATGGTTTCAGCATTTTACCGTTGTACGCTCTCCTTCTTTATCTGCTCTTGATGGTATATATATAGATCACATAGCTGACATATTGGGATGTGGGGGTTGATTCTTAGTCGTCAATGCTAAAAAAATCCCTTTGTAACCGTAGCAAGTTTCAAATCTCAACGAAATTATTCACTCACAAATTAAAACAGCGTTCAGTAAAGACCACTGCGCTAACGCTTTTTCATGCGCACAACAATGAATTGTGCAATTTATTTAATTTCTGAAAATGCAAGTGAAATTGTACGCACACCTGTGGCGTGATTAATCCTGGACGCGGTGGCCCTGCGCAATTACTGCAGCAACTGCCTGCAGAGACTACGTGTCACTGCCGACTCACTCATATATACAGGGTGCGAAATTAACGCGAGTCCAGAGTCAAATACTCCCTGATTTACTGTCGGACTCCCTGATTTGACATATGCAGGAGTCCGTGTGACTCCCTGAAAATTCTGCTATACTAACTAGTTCATTCCAGAGCGGACTCCCTGATTTGACATATGCAGGAGTCCGTGTGACTCCCTGAAAATTCTGCTATACTAACTAGTTTGTTCCAGCGCACGGCCTCGCAGAATTACCATATTTTTTCAGCAAATCTTTAATTTGGAACTTCAGACTACGAACTCCCTCATTTTGCTGCGGACTCCCTCTTTTTCCGTTGGACTCCCTTGTGGGGGAGGGGGG